CCACATAACCCCTTAAAATTCTCCACCAGACCCTAACCCCCTGATTATCATGTGTGGGACGCAGTTGAGCCAGAACCCAACAAAACTCCTTGTAACACCAAAGAGGAAGGCAGGGATTATAGCAACATTCACTAACTTAAGCAGATCGTCCAGAAGAGATGAAGGAAGTTCGGAAGTACTCTGGAGGCCATGGTTGAAGACAATGGCGATGTCATTGAATAAATTTACTCTTTAGTATTTCAAGATATTTTATATATAATTTTGGTAAATATGTCTGTTAAAATGAGATGAGAGTGTTATTTTCATTTTTGCGTAATTTAGACGACAATTTATCCATTGTATCCTATATATATATTAGGTTGGTGCAAAAAATAATGACGTAATAATGTCGTTTTTTGACGTTAAAAAATACGTCACAAAACGACATTATTACGTCATTATTTTGCACCAACCTAATATATATATATATATATATATATATATATATATATATATATATATATTACAATAAGATAATCAACCCTTGATTTGTATAATGAAATCTCACACTACCAAATAAGGTATTGTAAATATTTCTAATGAAACAGCTCAGCTTTTTGCAACTGAAATTGATTTGTCATATTTATCATATAAATGTAAGTAAATCCCGAAACTTTTTCCAATAATGTTTGATGAATATTGTGAAATCATTGTCTGGCGTAATCAAATCTTATATTTTATGTATGTATATTATACAAATATAAAATAGCGCGCAGTGATTGCTGGCGGCAATAAAACATTAATATTTAAATTTTAGAACGCTCGATTTAAAATCCATTTCTGACGATTGTCACGTGCATGAAACTCAGAATTTTACCAAATGGAGAAGACATATATATATATATATATATATATATATATATATATATATATATATATATATATATAGTTCTTTCCATATATATTTCATTGTCAACTCTTGCCCGTATATGCCGTTACTTGCTTAAAAGTAAAATTTTACAGACATAATTTTATTCCGAATCAAAAACCAATTTGTAGAAATCAAAAGCGAAATGTTACAAGGATAAAGTAATAATTTTTAAATCAAAAGTAATTTTACAACCAAATTAAAATTTGTAAATGAAAAATGAAATAATTTTTCAAAAATAAAAATAGTGTCATCTTGTTTACTTTTAAGAGGAAACTCACACACACGCACACACATGTACGCACAACCGCACACACGCACGCCCACATACACATAAGCAAACGCGCACACACTATTTTTTTCGACAAAAACAGTTACGTAAACATAGACCAACAAAAAAAAAAAGAAAAGAAAAGAAAAGAAAAGAACCCTTGGAAACGAATGAAGCAACATTCGAAAGTACTCGGATTAAAAAACAATAAAATAAATATGAACTTTAGTAAATTTGCCGATTACATCCGACAACTAATTCGAAAGTTTGAAAAAGTTAATAAAAATTGGATAGACAGAACTTGTCGATAGTATTCACTCAACTATGTTTGCGCAATTGTCCCCCTACCCACATATCTATCTATCTATCTATCTATCTATCTATCTATCTATCTATCTATCTATCTATCTATCTATCTATCTATCTATCTAATCATTTTCTGCTTCCATTGAAACACTTTTTCGCTATGTTTATATTAATATTAACATCATTACATATATTTATTTTACACTGGTACGCCTCCATGCCGAAGTATTTATGTGAAACACCATCATAAGCACATTGAAGTCAATTCACACCTCAGTCAAATCAGTTAATTCGATATACGCAACAATGAGCAGACGATAAGCGATAGTACCACACATAAACCCAATCAGCGTGGAAAGGCGTCCTCTATTGGGAGCCATAAAACACACACAGTCACACAAATCAATAAATACTGAGTCAGTCTAATATTGGGACAAGGACTCTTTCAGTGTGATTTTTGTTGAGATGAATGAGTTATCTGCCTTTGGTTCCAGTCATTTGCTCCTTAAAACCGATCCCTCCCCATCTTCCTGTCCGTCTCTCTTCATTGTCCGTGAGTTACGTGAACGATAATGACGCATTACGTTTGTCGGCAGAGCATCACCTGATCGTGCAGCTGGAGTTGTGAATAGTTATTTATTTAAATGGGTATTTTCGATTTTAAAATTGTGCACACATAGAAAAAGTCTACATTATAAAAATGTTGAGGTGTATCTTCGGCTTCATATAATATCCATAAATAAAAGCATAGCAACGTGACTAGAAGCGGTGATATGTGTGTTTTTATTGTAGTTTTTATAGAAGTTATATTTTGAAATAAAGTTTGATTACCTTAAGAAATTATAGGGTTTTATTCGGATTAATGTCATGAAAAAGTTCTTTGATGTTGGTTGTTTGGTGAGTTAATTTTGTTTAGCCACATAATAACCTCCATGGGTCATTCAATGCCAAAATGTAAATAATTTGAACAATTTTATGGCCTCAACTAAATATATTTTGAACGCAGTTGTATGCCTTTAATTACAGATAAAATGTATTGCTGGTCATGTCGTCTTAAAAATGTATTGTTGCTAATTTTACTATAAATAGGTATTGTTGCTATTCTTTTTTTTTACATAAAAATGTATTACTGGTATTTCTACTATAAAAATGTATTTTTATACTTTCACGTTTTTTTGTTTGTTTGAGAATTCACTATTTGTCCATATGTGGGACCCTAAAAAGTGCTACCATTCCACAACTATGAGCTTGAAACTGTCATGTATGTATGTATGTATCGCAGAAGTTATATCATTTTGATATGAGTCCGGCATACATATAATATATATGTGTCTACACACACACACACACACACACACACACACACACACACACACACACACACATATATATATATATATATAATAAGTACAGACGATATATATAATATATATATAAAGAGCGAGAGAGCGAGAGAGAGATAATCATTCAGGAATATTTAATATATAAGTACCATTTTAATAAAATGAAAAAATTAATCTATCTATCTATGTATTTTTATATATATATATATATATATATATATATATATATATATATATATATATATATATGTGTGTGTGTGTGTGTGTGTATATATATATATATATATACATATATATATATATAGGTAGAGAGAGAGAGCGATAGAGAGAGCGAGCGAGAGAGAGATAATCATTCAGGAATATTTAATATATAAGTACCATTTTAATAAACATGAAAAATTAATATGCATTCATACATACATATATGATGTTTGCTCATTCACTGAACAAAGACGCCCACCAACCACGCTGCGTGGAATGAGGTACCCTCCGAACTGCCGAAAACCCGATAGTATCTACAAGATTGTTTATATTCATTAATAGCTCGTGCAACATTATGTGGTCTCTCAGCATCTGACAGACCTGAGGCAATGACAAAAAACTGTCAAGATATGTGTCACATATGATTCGGGTTGTCTCATGGTAAGACACTGTCAAGATCGTTAATGCCGGACTTATATCAAAATGATATAACTTCTGCCATACATACATACATACATACACGATAGTTTCAAGCTCATTGTTGTGGTGTGGTAGCACCCGTTAGGGTCCGACCTATATACAAATAGTGAATTCTCAAACAAAAAACCGGGAAAATATAAAAATATATTTATATAGTAAAAATACCAGCAATACATTTGTATGTAAAAAATAGCAACAATACCTGTTTCTAGTAAAATTAGTAAAAATAATTATTTATAGTAAAATTAGCAACAATACATTTTTAAGACGACATGACCAGCAATACATTTTATCTGTAATTAAAGGCATACAACTACCTTCAAAATATATTTAGTTGAGGCCATATAATTGTTCAAATTATTTACATTTTGGCATTGAATGACCCATGGAGGTTATTATGTGGCTAAACAAAATTAACTCACCAAACAACCAACATCAAAAAACTCTTTCATGATATTAATCCACATAAAACCCTACAATTTCTTATATTCCAAAATATAACTTCTATAAAACCTACAATAAAAACACACATATCGCTGTCTCTAGTAATTATGTCCGCACAAACATGTATATACACAAAAGCTGAGTATCATCTATTATGGGATCAATTCTGAAATGAATATCATACCATATATTTATTATTTCAAAGCTCACGAGAAAAGTTCAGCATTAAATGACCTATAAGGAGTAGATATACCGATAAACAAACAGACCTCATTATTGAGTATGACCGTCGCAAGATATCATTGTCTGACTTGTGTTTTGAACTGACGTGGCTCTTTAATCCGGACAAACTTTTAAAACCTATCGAACCATTTTGGTAGATACGAAACTTATCTTTGTCAATTTCAACAATTGGAAGATTAACAATTAAACAACGTGTTCAACAAAGTTTCAAGAGTGCAGTTGGCAAAATTGTTCGTAAATTCAAACAAACTGGATTGTGACAGATGTGAAAACACCATTGCCTGCTTGTTTACGCCGTTCAGCTGAAAAAATTGCTGTGGTGCACGAGAATCTGGCCGAAAATGCAGACACGTCTATTAGTCATCGTGCAGGAATTGAACCTCTCCAATTGCACTCTCGATTGGTCGATTATGTTGACCAAAAATTCGCAAAGTGCCTGAAATGAATTTCTCTTTGAACGCTCATTTTCGTAATAGGCTTGGATAACTTTAACATGTTGTTTGAATATTAATCTTTCCATGGTTGAAATTGCCAAAGACTTAAGTTGTTAAATCTGAAAGAAAAAGAAAAAAAAATCATAAGACGATTAAACTTAATTCACATTTAAAATCGGCCCAAGTTATTGGAACACCGTTTATATATGTAAAAAAATAATATAGACTATATCTGGACACTATGAATAAAGACTAATGGAAAGAATATATTAGCCAACGCGTTTCGTCGGCTGAGGGACGTTTAGCAAGGCAATCGTAAGGATTTCATTTTGTGATTGGACAAAATACAAACCGATCTTGTGTACAAAATAATGCCGAAATATCTATCTATCTATCTATCTATCTATCTATCTATCTATCTATCTATATATATATATATGTGTTCTCTCTCTCTCTCTCTCTCTCTCTCTATATATATATATATATATATATATATATAGAGAGAGAGAGAGAGAGAGGAGAGAGAGAACATTTCTTCGTTTATTTTTGTACTGAATTGTATCACAATAACCTGATGAATATTCTTGAACACTCCTATAACAACAAATTTTGAAAAGCCAATAACATTTTTGCTCTTGTATATAAATACCTGTCACAAAATAATATCCTTACATTTGTTTTGATAAAGTCCCTCAGAGGACTAAACAACGCGTTGGCTAAGATAAGTATTCCTTTTGCGTTTATATATATATATATATATACACACACACACACACACACACACACACACACATATATATATATATATATATATATATATATATATATATATATGTATACACATACATATATATATATATATATATATATATATGTGTATATATATATATATATACACACACACACACACACACACACATATATATATATATATATATATATATATATATATATATATATATATAAAAAACGACTGATAAGTTACTGCGATTAAACTTCTTATTCAATTTTTTCTTGTGTACGTATGTGTTTTCTTTTCTGGATATAAAGAAACATATCGAATGTTTTATAAATCTCAGCGCTTTCGTCTACTCTATTGCCCATTATTAAGGATGTCGTTTTTTATCCCTACCTGAACGAATGTTTTTTTTTTTTATATATTTGTATAAAAAGATTGCCCACAAAATATTTCTTCGAAATAAAATACAATAAGTGGTGAAATTTTTTATACTTATCAAGAAGCAGAAAAAAAAAACGCCATTGTTTTATTCGTAAAAGAAAAGCGATGCAAATTGAAGAAATATGATATATGTTTACAAAACCACAGGCAAGTGTAATAATCATAATCTTATAAGAAGATTAATTTTGATGTGTATATATGTAATTACCGTCTTGCATCAGCGGTGACATTAAAAGATCTAAGTTGGTACAAAATTTTACACTATGGTATTTCAAATCTTTTCACACGCGACCTTTTTTAATTAGTGAATTTATCTGGTGACTCCTGACTAATTGTTATAAAAGTAATATTACTAATACAGACACTATGTTAGTATTTAGTCGTAATATTTTTTATAATAACGTCTTAAATCATTTGAGATATATTTTCTTTTTTATCAAAAACTAGCAAGTTCCACCCGCTCGCTATCGCTTCACAAAGTAAGATAAATTTATTACTTAAAAGTTTTGAGACGAAAATTTTAAATGAACATTTCATTCATAAATTGACTTGTTATAGTTAAGGAAAGTTTTACAAATAGATGCCAACTTGTTGAAGGCCAAGTAAAACGCAAATTTTAAAACATTTTTCGAGAGGCCAAGTAAAATGCAAATTTCAAACTTTTTAGAGAGAGGGATCGGTGGTTCAGGAGTCAGCGAGCAATTTTTGTTCCTTGCCCGGATATACGCGCTCGGGTTCCCATCATAAAAACTGACCTTGTGTCACAACTCGTCTTGATGGAGAGACAGAGTAAATACCTAGTGTATAAACTTTTCTTTCGGGTAGTTTGTAACACTCTATTTATCATCTCTCATCTGTCTTTGGGTAGAGTGCACTCAGGTGCGGCTCCGTCAAAGAGCAGAGTTGCAATTGAGGAAAATTGTACTGGGCAGCTTTTAAGCTAGCTTAAAAGTTTAGCCAGCTTAAGAATTTAATCTAGCTGTAATTTTGGATACAAAAAGAAAATTAGAGTTACTCCCCTTGAACAATGAAACAACGATAATGGCCAGTATAATTCATCAATATATATATTTAATCTCATATAATCAAGCAACTCTTAATCTGAGTTTAACGAAAATCGTTCCCTGTGCCTAACTTTTCAAGGGCTTTTGAATGAGATGTGAATCATTGAAATCGGACCAGTGGAAGAGTTGGAGTTGCTTGGACATACACACGCACAAACACACATACACTGTAGTTTATATATAAGATTATCTTTTCAAATAGATTTGAAACATTTTTTTACGTTCTATTATATGGTGTTAGAAATACTTCAAGTTTATTTAATTTATTTTTCATTTATTTGAGAGCAGCATTTTTGACGTATCTCATGTGAGTTATTGAGTTACAATATGACAGAATTAATTATGAAAAATGTTATTTTAGTTTTTGAAAGAATTACATCATCTGTATTATATCAGCACCGCCAATCCATAATTCCACCATTTGTTATTTATAATTTATGTATTTTTTATTTACAGGCAATATCTGCTTTAGATATTATTCTATGATATGGTTAAAAATGAATTTAACTATTCTTCCTTCACTTGTTTTTGTTAAGACATATTTTCTGAGACATTTTTCTTTTTTAATAAATATATTTCCTGCTACATGGAATTTCTATTTATTTATGTAGGCTTGAAAGTGTTTAACACCAAAAATGGGCCACAAGGAAGAAAAGAGGGAGAAACACTGCTCTAGACTAAATAACGATGTCACACAAAAAAAACTTCAGAGATTATGAGTGTTTCTGTCATTCTAAAAGAAGTTAATAGATCTAAGACTGTAATTTCGAGAATATAAAGGTTTCATGGTGATATCAACTCCTGTAAGTCATTGTTGTGTCGTGGCACAATAGTAAAAATAAGAAAATCAAGTCGAAGTTGGTTTAAAGAACAAGTGTATTTAACATCACAGATACAAATGTAGGAAACGGGTACTACTCAGCTAGGCAGTTGTAGTACTGTCGCTGCTTACACCGGGTAGGTATTACTGGCACTATATATAGTGAGAACCGGTGTAATTCCCTTGTGTTAGAGGCCGGTGCAACAGTCATTTAAAGCAGTAATTCAAAAAATGTACCCTTAGGATTAAAAGTGGACCTGAGGAATCTGGAGTTGGTCCAAGGCGAATTGAAATTCTATTTTTGAAATTTGAAATTCTATTTTTTCCGCTGGCATAAAATTATGAAAACACAAAATGCTTTAATTTAATTAAAAAAAAATATTTAAATAAAATTTTTGATGCTTTCTAGTAATAGATTACATTTTCAAATTGAATTGAAATATTTGTTTTGCTTTATTGAGTGATGTTAGAAAAACTGCGTTTAACTTACTTTTCATTTATATGAGAGTAGCATTTTTAGGCATTTAATGCGAGTTATTCAGTTACAATATGGCAGAATTAACAAAAATGTTATCTTAGTTTTTGAAAGCATTACTTTATCTGTAGTATATCTGCACCGGTAATCCACATTTCCATAATTAGTTATTTATAATTTATCAATTTTTTCTATTTACAGGCAATCTAAAACGATTGGAGGAAGAACATATATATTCATTTTTAACCATATCAGATAATAAAAGCTAAAATAAGCATTGCCTGTAAATAAATATGATACATTATAAATAAGAGTAAAAATGTGAATTAAAGGTGCTGATAAGATACAGACTTATAATTTCTACTACATTTTGCTTATGTAAATAGAATGTATTTCCTGTTACATGAAAGTGGAGCTGAAATTCTTTTAACACCAAAAATTTGCCATAAGGAAGAAAAAATTGAGAAACACTGATCTAGACTAAGTAACGCCTATTACGACTAGTTTAACTTACTAAATAATAAATAACAGAACTAGTTAGTTTAAATTGCTATTTAACTTTGTTGAAAACATTCCTAGACATATACTTATTAAGAAAATATAACCAATATCTTAATTCATTTAATTTAAGAAGTATATTTAATTTTAGAAATAAATAATATTTTAATAAAGTAAATGTCAGTAAAATAATAATTTATAACTTGTTATAAATACAACTATGTTTTGTTTTTCTTACAACCTCAGTCTACCTTGCTGTTTTTTTAATCATTTTACTCCAAGCAAAACGGGAGTGCCACTAGTATGCAGAGGATTACAGAGAGTAAAAGTGAGAGAAAAGACTGGGTATAGGGGGGGATTGAAGAAAGGATAAAAGACGAATGGGGTTCAAGACAACAGAAGATGGCGATTGACGTTGCATTTAAAATTTTGAAGACTGTAGTTTTCAGGGAAGCAATTAAATGGAAGGAAGTTTCACAGGCGGGAAGTGTGAGAAAAGAAACTGTTGGAGTAGAAGTGGCGGTTACATTTAACTATTTCAACAGTAGATGAGTGGGACCTAAATGCCAATCTAGTAACACGCTTAAATTGATGTAGTTGGGGCACCAGGGACAAAAGCTCGTCAGAGCAGCTGCCATGGAAATATTTGTAGAAAAGATAGAGGGAAGCCGTATTAGGTCTGTGAGAATGCGACTGAGATGCCAAGTCAGGATCGATTATACATTGTAGATCATTCTTTAGATTTTATCAAGAACCTCGTGATGAACAGCAGCTATAGATTCGATGTAGTCGCGCCACTTCAAGTCAGTCGAAAACGTATGGCCAAGGAGGATTTTAGCTGATAGCAGGGATGGATTCACGCCTTTCCAAAATGCACATATGCGAAAGTGAATATAATAGATGAGGCAGGAATTTGAACTCGATACGCCGATTTTACTTACCGAGCTGATAAGGTGATAGATAAGCATTTCATATCTTTTGCCTGTTCAAGATGGGCTGGTTGCACCTGTTAGGGTCCACGCGATGGGTAAATAGTGACCCACCCCCAAAAAGCAAAACACTATGAAAGTATAAAAATACATTTTGATAGTAAAATACCAATAATATATATATATATATATATATATATATATATATATATATATATATATATATATAATGATATGGACAAAGTCCGACAATTATTTTAAGACATTTTATGCTTATACATTCTTTTTATAGATACAAATATTTAAGTAAATGCTCTGTTTATAATAAACAGTATTAAACAACATTTACCGGTCCGAATGTCTGAGAAATATATATATATATATATATATATATATATATATATATATATATATATATATATAAATAAATGACCAACAACACATATTTGAAGCAAAATGATCAGCATTACATTTTAAAGCAAAATGACCAACAATATATATGTATATTAAACTAACCAATAATACATATTTACGGCAAAATGACCAACAATAAATTTTAGACCAAAATGATCAGCAGCATATTTTATAGCAAAATGACGAAAAATACATTTTATCCGTAGTTGAAGTCATACATTTGCGTAGAACATATTTAGATTTCGGCATAAATAACCCATAGAGTTGTTGATATGCCGCTAAACAAAATCAACCAACAAACCAAAACCTGTTCAAGAATGACTTATTCTTCATAATCTAACCTTGGTGGATTCGCGTTCATCATCCTTAGTGCCATACGACTCTTCTATAGAGAATATAACCCTATGCCAACTACGAGAGATGCTGCTGACGTGGTTTCAGTGATAAGAAGCCTTTGGTAGGTTGGAATCGCCGGTCCCACGCCCTTACTGGTTTGCAATTCAAAGTTTTCCATCTCCCAGTCTTCCCTGTTCTTTAACTCATAATTAGAAGAACTGGCTTCATTCCGTATCGAATGTTATTTGTGCATAAATGATTGGAACGAACTCGGCCGGAATTTGAACTAAAACACGCCAATCCCAATTTCCGCTCCGACAACAGCCACGTGACGCACGCATTTTTGGATTGCAAATAAAGATATTTGAGGGACATTACGACCACAAGGGAAAATCATTACAGAAACCAGAATTGGATAATTAAGCATAAAGGCTTACGGCCATGTTGCGTTGAGACATCGGTTCCCTTACGATACACCGAAGTTAAGCAATTTTGAGCCTGGTCAGTAACTAGAGGGGTGACCGTTTGTGCATACCAGGGGCTGTAAGCTTGGATGTACACCGAGGGTAATGGTTAATCGTTCAGAAATGTTTATTGGAGAACCGAGTTCTTATTTCAGTTGTATTTGTTATATTCACTTACGCGAAAATTCCCTCGGGAAAGCTATGTATCCATCTCTTTTCCTCCCAGCTATGGGTTAATTAGTAACACTTGTATCATTAAATCAGTATTGTCGCCAAAAAATTCTTACAATCTAAAAATACTTCTCGTTTTAAATAACCTACAAAGGGTTGATAAGCCGTAAAAATGAATGAATCAATTAATGAATCAGTCAAACATAAAGTGATCGATGTTAATATGCTCACTCCTTAGAAGGAAGCAATTATTCGATTGTAATAAATGTTTCTGTTCAAACGTCTTCCTTAAATATTTGGGAGATGTGCAGGTATGCAAATTCATAACGGTTCGAAAATGAAATCGGAGAGCCGAGTTCGAATTCTATTTACATTCACTTACGCTCAAATAACCGTGAAACAGGAACCCATCTCCTACCTCTGCTATGGTTTAAATTGTAGGACTTGTAGCTGGGAAAAAAAATTCTTCGTCTCAAAAAGAAAATTGACAATTCAATATTCTGTCGCAAAAGAATTATTCTTTGCAATGCAAAACATGTTTCAGCTTTAAATATCTTACAAGGGTTGATAAGCCGTAAAAAAAAAAAAAATCAATCAATCAATCAATCAGTCAATTTCTAAAGCTTTGATATTCACCTAATAAAACATTTGAGACGCAAACAACTAAAGTGTTTGATCAAAAAACATGAGAAATAGAACAGAAACAAAATAAAAAAGAAATAAAACACAAAAGAAACAAAACAAAAAATACAGAAACAAAGCAAAAACTAGAAAAAAGAAAGACCAGCTGATTAGTCGAAATAAATCCACAATCCATTAAGATGGCGCAGTTCTGAACTGAAGACAAATGTTTAGTATGCTAATAGTTTTTTGCAGCAATAATGGATGCATCTCAGTTGGTAATGGAAGCCACATTTGTGTTTGTTATCAAATGCAAAATGTGTTTACTTTAGCATCAGGCATCACATCTGTACAAACAACTACGCCCTCTACTGGCAGGTTTTTATCTGTTTAGGTAAATAAAAGTCAGCGTTTATTTTTATTTTATTTTCTAAAGGCTCGGGAGGAATTTGTCCGTTTATAAAAATAATAAAAAATGTCGTCATTGTTTCAACGAGGCTTAAATCATTATCAGGCATTTTTATAAATAATTTGTTAAAAACATTTTAGAAAAAAAAACAACATCACATATTTGCATCAGAAAATTAAAAATTAAGCGGACACTTGTTTCACATAATTAAGTAATATTTATTTTAATCACAGATGCGGAAAATTACTCGAGTTTCATAATTGTGTTAAAATCATTAACCAATCCTTGGAGACTGAAAACGCTAATGTCTGCAAAAATGATTATTATTAGTGATATGAACTTTTCTTGTTTATTCGAAACGTGGATATCTTAGGAAATCAAAACAAACTGAAATTTATAACTTCTTCTTCTTCTTCTTCTTCTTCTTCTTCTTCTTCTTCTTATTATTATTATTATTATTATTATTATTTCTGCTGTTCCCATTCAGTACGTGGGCGATCACTGCTCTAAAAAATTTCCTGTCTTCTGTAATGCTTAATAAATTTTCTCTTGTTCTTTCTCCTAAATGATCCCGTTATCCATTTAATCATGTTCGATAGGTAGACTATTTACATTATTCGGACTATTGTCCTCATCTTTGTCGCCATATTTATCACAACGTTTCGGCCGTTGTACGCTCCGGCCTTCTTCAGGTGGTTGGAATTTCGAGCTGAAACCCTTTATTTCGCTCACTGGGGTAGACTGTTCTAGTTCCACGTGCCATGTTTGATGGATGTCAGTTATCAGTTATCTCCTGTTAATTTCCCTCTGAAAGCTCTTCACTGCCTTAACCGGGTATTGAACTCACACTCTTTGGTTCCTGTCAATGGATCTAACCAACGCCTTTATCCACTGTGTATGAATTTCTGGGTATTATAAACCTAATGTCTTCAGCAACCATTTTTACCAGTGCTCATATAATAATGTGAATAATGTACATAATACCTCATCTCAGAAATATAGACAGACTTTGATAGGTAGGTTATCCGCCTCTCTGGCCTTCAGTCTGTCTTGTGAGTATCAAAATTTCCAAGCCCTATTTCCTCATTGTGTGCCTTAGAAATTTCAATTTTCTCTTCCTGGTATCATGGACCGAGCGTGTGAGCAACGATGCTGTTTTGGAGAGGATGCATAAATAACATAAGGACGAGGCAGCTGAGGTTTCTGGGAAACATAATGAGGAAGGAGGGTCTGGAGAATCTGATGCTCACAAGTCGAACAGAGGGAAAGAGACACAAGGGAAAACAACGCATGGCATACCTAGCGGGCTTAAGCAAGTGGATGACAGAACGTCGTCTGGGGCAGGTGGAAAACGGATAAAACTTATTGAGAGTTACAAGGAATAGGGAGGAGTGGAGAGCCATGATCGCCTACGTCTTGAAGGTACACGGCTCATAAAAAGAAAAAGAAGGTATCAAGCATAAGGGTACTTTTTGTTTCCATTTTATTTAAAAGTTTGTCGTTGCTCACATATACGGCACATTGTATCCTCAGCATCTTTCCGTAGGATCACATTTCTGTTGCCTTGACACTTCTTCATCTGCCATAGAGGAGGATGAGGAGGATGATATACTATTATTCACTGGCTTCTCAATAATTCTGCCAAATATTAAACGTTTTATTTACTACTAGCAGTAGAGCCCGGCGTTGCCCGGGGATGTAACAGTAAGAGATAGATCAAGTATCGACCATCATAAAGACTGAAAATAAAATTGACAAAGATTGTTGTTTAAGGTTGACGGACACGCATGTCTTAATTATTTTTTTTTTATTTTTTTGGTCAAACCCAAATTCAAACAAAAACATTGTTTATAATCATTATGAGTCTATCGATTGGTGAATAGAATTTTATTATAAACAATTGTCTTGTAAATGGAATTTTAAAGCATTCTGAATGTAAATAAAGAAAAAAAGTGTGCAAGACAATAAGAAATTCTACCTGCCGAAAAAAAAAAGTGGATATTTGTTTTATCGGCTGAAAAAATGTAAGAAATCCGATCCCATATATAAAGGAACACACACACACACACACACACACACACACACACACACACACACACACACACACACACACACACACATAAACTGGGTTTTTAACCTAAGTCACTCCACGGAATCGCTAAAACATAGAGCATAGTCTGATGAAAAAGACGCCAAAGTTTATGAAAACAAAATTTTATCGTCAAAATGCTTATTTTTTTTTTATGAAGAGGATAGACTAAATTTTTTTTAATTATTTTAAAAAATTTTTCCATCTTTTAGAATATTCTAAATTTTGATTTAAAAAACTTGTTTCTCTTTGTCGCAACAAGGGGTAGTAAATAATATAGATAATTTTTAGCGCATTTTTTTTGTATTTACACACATTAATTTGGAAAATCTTGCAAAAATAAAAATAATTGTCAGATGTTAATGAAACTTTCAGAAACTATTCACAGATGATCGAAATTATTATAAATATTTTTTTTTTTAAAAAGTCATGGCAGAAATATTTTTTTTTATATTTATTAACACCCCCCATAACTAATTTTATGAAAAACTCTAGAAATTCGAGACCATCGGTTTTAGTGATTACAATCGTTAAAAGCACAAGGCTTTGAAGAATGCAAATCATGTTTTTTTTTTTTTTAATTTTTTGGGCCAACGTACCTGAAAATCAGCTGTGAATTGTAACATACAAAACTCAATAAAACAAATATATTATTTAGTTTCAAATGCTTTTATTTGTTTTAATTTGTTTTTATGAATATGGACAATATTTTCTGAAAGCAAAAAAAATTTTCAATGAAAATTGAATTTTTAATACAATTATTTCTTATTTCTTTAATTTTAAAAATATTTTTAAAATATTTTAAATTGAATTTAAAAAAATATTTTAACATTAGTTAAAAAGCAACATCAACCTTTCAAAATGTCCGTGTGAGATTGTCATTGTCTAGCGCTTTGAAAATTCTATAATTTGGACCAATCAGATTAGCCATGGTAATTAAGTAATGTAATTTTTGTGTTTATAGTCGGACAGTAATTATCAAGTACGGAAGACCAACCAGAATACAATTTAGTTGCATTATTTGAGTTCAGCATTGTTCTCCGCTGTTAAGCCCTTTTGCGAAACACGTATGGAGAAGTTAATTTGAGTTTTCAATTTCAACTGAGAAGGGTACCTACAAGTAACAGTATCATCTTATGAAATTTAACTACTGCTAAACTTTAATTTATATGATCTTATTTTTATATTAATCTCAGTTATGACATTTTTCCATAAATGAAATATCAAAATTAATAATAAAATGAATGGAAATACAAATAACACAGTAAAATGTAATAAATGTACATAAAATTATAGTATTTTATGTACACTTCTAATAAAATTTCATAAGAAAGGTACCTAAATTAATTAGATACCTTTTTCTTATGAAATTTAATCTCACTATTAACAGTCTTATTTTTTAATTTCTTTATATTTTCCATAAAGCATCGTAAACGTAAAAATGAAAGCTAAGTACAAAAAAAAAAAAAAAAAAAAAAATAAAAAATTAGAGCGCTGAAAGTTTTCCTTAAAAGTAACAAGGTAAATAATTTGTTCACTTAAATAATTTCACTTCCTTCCATCCGTAGAAAGAATTCTCCTCCCGTAAGTTATCTAAACGTCATGAATGTGCCTTTCGTCAATCGTCAAGCGACGCGAAAGGTTATGACCTGCTTTGATTTATTTTCAAATTACAATTTTTTCGGCGCAGAAGCTAAGTTAAGCTTGGTTCAAAATATTTTAAATAAACAGTATAATATCTGTTTTTATTAAAATCAGTTTTGAAAAATGATAATTGACTTTTAAAAGAATATC